CCTCGCTCTCCTTCTCCCCATCCCTGGCGAGCTCCCCGCCCTCGCTGTCGCTTCCCGCGCGCCGTTGTTCGCGTGCGCGCGCCCGCGCGGTCGCCGCCCGTGCCGCGCCTGCGCCGTCTGCGCCGCCCGGCCCCGCTGCCCTGCCACGCCTGCAGCCGCTCTGCCCCGCAGCCAGCGCGCGTGCCCGAGCCGCGCCGCTCAAACCGCCGCGCCTCCCGTTGCTTCCCACGCGCGCGTGCCGTGGTGGCCGACCGCCTGGTCGCCGCCGTCGTCAGCGCCTGCCCGCGCCTGTCGCCCGTGTCGCCGCTCCGCTCCAAACCGCCCCGCCGTCATCGCCGTCGTCATCGCCCGGCCCCCGCCACTCCGCGCGCAAGCTGCCAAGGGATGGAGGTAGAGCTCCTCCTCCCTCTGCCGCGTCGCCCCCGCTCCCTCCTCCTTTTCCCGAAGAGGCAAGGGGACAAGCCCCCTATTCTCTCCCTATTTTCCCCTTTTTCCTCCCGCCGGCGTCATCCTCCTCCCTCCTCCCTGTCGCCGCTTTGGCCGCGACCGCCGAGCGCTAGCCCTCTCCTTTGACCGCCCTAAGTCGGTTCCCAAACCGACATTGCCATCCTATAAACCCGAGCTTCCCCCTTTCCTTTCCTCTCCCATTCGCCTCCGGTGCTCTGTTCGCCGTCGCCGTTCGTCGTTGCGCATGTCGGAGGAGCCGGCACGAGCAAGGACGCGGAAGGGGACTTCGGGCGCGCCCTCTCCTTCCTCTTCCCCGGCCCGAGGCCGGAGAGATTACTCCCGCGCCGTCGGACTCTCGTCACTGCGCCCCGTCCGCACGGTAGTGCATCTCCCCATTCTCCCTCCTCGCTCCATCTCTCCCCCTTAGTTTTCGGTAGTAACACGAGTAGCCTCCCCGTAGCTAGCCGGCGCCGCCCCGACCGTTGCCGCCGCTCGCCGTGTGCTCGCCGCCGTCGCCGCCCGAGCTCGGAAGCGCCGCTCATCGCTGGCCTCACTCGGCGTAGCTCCGCCCAATCCGACGCTAGCATCGGATTCCCGTAGCCACGTAGATGCTCTCGCCGCCGGGAATCGGCCCCACGTGACCTCGTCGCCGTTTCCCCCTTCTTCCGCCGCCGGATGCCGCTGCCGCAATTCGCCGCCGTCGGGCATCCTCCGGCGAATCCGAGCCGTTGGCTCGTCTCCTCTCGTCCTGTGCAACCACCCGGTGTGCTCGCTTTCGCCTGTATCGCCGTGGTTCGCTCTGCCGCTCGCCGCTGTCGTCCGCCGTCCGTTCCGGCCGGCGTCGTCGTCTACCTCCCGCCGGCCCGCGTGGCAGCCACGTAGGCGCCACGTCGGCGCCAGCTCGGCCGAGATCGGGTCGAGCCGACCCGATCAGCCCTTCCCCGTGCACGCGGTCCACTGCGAGCCGTGAGGCTGCACGTGGGCCCGCCGCATCCGCGTCCTCCGCGAACCGCGCGCGTGCACCGCGCCCCACACCTCACCCTAGCGCCGCGCCGCGTGCTCCCTCCGCACGGTGAGCCGAGTCGCTGACAAGCGGGTCCCACCCGGGACCACGCGTGGTGAGCCCGGTCCACCGGCTCTCTCTCTCCTCCCCTCCCACGCGCGCGCACCTTGGGCCGCCTTGGGCCGGCCGGCCCATTTAGCTCGGCCGGACCGCTCTATTTCTCTCGGGCCGTGCCCTAGCCGCCCGAGGAGAAGTCTACTTCTCCTCCCTCTTTCTTTTCTTTTTCAAAAAGGATTTAAATAAATCCTTTTCCTTTAGACCAAAAATCCAATAATCTTAGAAATTCAATATCTTCCCAACCGTAAATCCGTTTGACTCCGTTCAACTTCCAAAATTCCTCAAATCTCGAGATCTATCTAATGGCACGCTTAGAGGTCATTAATAGGACTTTATTTTCGCCGTTTGTTAAGTTGTCCCGTTTCGCGTGTAGTTTCGGAGCCCGAAGACCCGCAGTGCGAGGATTTCGAGGATCAAGCTCTAGATCTCGAGCAAGGCAAGCCACCTTTGAACATCTTGAGCCTGTATTTGAATTTAATTATGTTGCTTGAAAAATATTATGCATTGATAGGATCGCACTTAATCTGTTGTCCCGTCTGCAAGGCAGATTGGTGGACCTACCTAGTTTGTTGCATTTGATCCTTCCTTTGTTAATTGTTATACCATGTTCCCTTGTAACCACCCAGTTGCGCCTCGGAAATCGTGCACTCTGCACGAGTATCGACGGCCGCCTTCAAACTTAAAATCTGAAAAACATCTTGGGTAAAACTTGGGTTTTACAAAAGACTTGGAAAACCCGACACCTGGGTCGGTGCTTGTGAACTAAATGAATTTCCAAAACCGCGAACCGGGGAACATATCGGGTGTACGGTTTCCCCGCTCTTGCACTTAAGGACCGTTTCCTTGGAATTTCATCCAAACATAAGACAAGTACGACCACATGGGTGGAATGGGACACCCCTGGCTGAGTAACTAGCTTATCAGGGGAGCCTTGATGCCGAGAGACATGTGGATTCACCGGGGTGGTGTCGGGGAGGACCCCTGGGCTTCCTGGCACAGTATGGTCTGGGACCTAACCTGTTGTTGGTCTGGGACCCCTCTCGTCAGCATATGGTAAACCTGTGTCGGCTTTCGAAATGCCTTGTCATGAAAGCTTGGAGGTCTCCCGACGTGGCTGATCCCCACGGGCTGGGTGATCCGGGTTAGTAATGTTGTGTGGGTAAAGTGTACCCCCTCTACAGAGGTTAACAAACTGTTCGAACAGCCGTGCCCACGGTCATGGGCGGATGTGAGGTGATTCCTAGCGTAGTTTTGTTTGACTACTGCTTGTGAAATTGCTGTTGTGGAAAGGGTTTCGATGTTTGAAAAATCTGCAGCTGATGGGATCAGCTAGGCCCGGGTGGCCGTTTGAAGGATTGTTGGCCCGGGTGGCCATTTGAAAGTGGTTGGCCCGGGTGGCCGTTTGAAAAGCTGTTGGCCGGGTGCCAACCCTGTTTCAATTCTAAAGACTGATACATTGCACATACTCCGACCGGACGAGACGCACTGTCTCATCCGTGTCGTTTGAGAAGCACTCACTTAGTTGTTTTCAGAAAAGAGTTCAAATAAAATCAATTGCAAAAACAACAGCCTTTCTTTGAAGCCTGCATTAAACACTTATTTCCCATGGCTTGCTGAGTACTCCCGTACTCACCCTTGCTCTATATAAATAATCCCCCCCCCAGTTGCTGAAGAAGATGAAGCGGATCCTGCTGACGAGGAGTTCTTCCAGGAGCAAGCCGGCTTCGATGAGTTTTAGGGTTTCGGCCTAGTTCCCAAGTCGCGCCTGTGTTGTTTGGCCCAAGTCTTGGCTTCCGCTTCCCTTTTGTAATGCAGTTGTGAGCTCGGGATCTGTCCGCAGCCCAACATGACTGTACCTCTACTCTATAATAAAGAGATCTTTGTTGCTGTGATATTCTGTCTTCCTGTGATACCGGCACTGTTTCCTGGGACTGGTATCGATTAACAGGTTAATTTGGAACGTCACGGGCTAGTTCCGGTCGGTACTAGTTCGGGGCGTGACAGAATATGATTGATTCAACTTGATGTGAATATACTGAGTTTAATTGATTTAAAGAGCTTGATGGAAAGCTCACTAAGATTCTTTATGTTCTAGCTTAAGAAAGAATCGCGACATGTTCCTCTTCCCATTTGAATTTGATTGATTAAATTGATCTCAGACAAATTAAATCACAAAAGCATATGCCTTCAATTTTTTAACTCCCAATGATTTTACTAATTTCAGTTTTCTACTTTTCAATCAATCTATGGCTCTCTGCTAAGAGAAAAATCGGAGAGAGAATAACAATAGAGAGAGTATACTCGGGCTAAACATGGACGGACAAGTGGACGAGGAGTCGAGGACGACACCTCAAACGGCTCAACTTGGTCGGCATCCTTGAGCAACCGCTGCTTGTCGCCGACTTGCTGGCAACCGCGACGGCGTGCTGCTGCATGCTTGTGCATAGCCGATCGCAGGTAGCCTCCGCTAGCGGCTAGTCCAGCCGGCGTGGACCTCCAATCGAGGCTGTCCACCTCCAATCGAGGCTGTCCACTGCCAACTGCCGCAGCGCCACGTGCTTGCGCCACCGCCAACGCTGATTCTCTAAACCCTATCGCGACCAACTACGTATTAAAAAGTTTTCGTAATTTTTGGGTATGCCGGTGCATACCTAGAACCCTTTTGGGTCCACCCTTACTTTCATTTTGTACTTCTATTATTTTTGGGTCTTCTGTTTTTCTTAGCTTTTGGAGTGACCTTACAAATCATAAAGTTTCTCTTAGCATTCCTAGTTTTCTTTTTTTTTTCTGACTTTGACTGGATTTTCTCCAGGATATCTTCTAATATATCAAGTTCAGAGTCATTGTCAGAGGCCAAATCTTCAATCACACCCAAATCAGATGTTTTGAATTCAGATATGTCCTCTGTCTGACACTTTTCATTGGTTTTTTTCAAGTTTTGTTGGAACAAATCCAATCTAGCACTTTCCAAAGCCCTAAAAGTATCCAAGTTGTGTCCCATCATTTCTATTGTGCATCCTAAATCAAGTCCTATTAAAGAAGCCATATTGCAAAGAGATAAATTTTAGTCATTAATGAAAGAGGGTATGATGTTAAGCATTTTTTGCTTCCTTTCTATCAATAGCCATCTCCAATGCCATTTTATCTCTTTTTTCCTTAAGCCTTGAGCATTCTCTCCTTGTTTCCTCAGCTGGTTATAATTTAAAATGGGGCCTATAAAAATTCATGCAGCATAGTATACTACACCGAACAAATAACCAATATGAACTTGGTGAATTTTTTCTGCCACCATGCTGCTTCGAATTCTCAAGGAGATTTAATCCCTTTTTACTAGCTGGAAACATCTCACGGTACCTGTAGAGTATTTCCACTAAAATTCTTCTCGTTAGAAAAATTTACACTTGACTTTTTCTTTAAAAAAAAAAAAACTATGGATCCATACATATGGGTAGTCCCATTGTTCCCTTGTTTTATTCATGACAAATTGGTAAAATCAACCGAGCATGATACATATCCATACTACAGAGAAAAAAATGTTTTTTTCTGACAAGAGCCGAATAACATGTGTAGCAAAAAAAAAAAAACATAAATGGATGCGTGCGTGCAAAAAGCAGTTTAAAGGAGATCACAAACTGCCCGATGCAAGAACAAGCTAATTAAGGGCCATGGTGTATTGGTACGGGCGTATGGCCTCTGCCGGCTGCTGCTGCTGCTGCTGCCGCCTCCCCTCCCTCTCGATCGATCAGACATCGGTGGGAGGCGGGCCGGCGCAACACAGGCAGCAACAAGGTCGCCGCTGCTTGCTGCTACTACTGCTCCCCGGCGCCGCCGCTTTCGCTTTGTTGTTGACGCGGTCCATCATGTGCAGGTCGTCCTTGGCCTGCCGCGCCGCCCTGTCCACCACGCTCCTCGGCACCGGGCACCAGTGCCGCTGCGCCAGGCTCAGCATGCACGGCGACGTCCTCAGCACGAACCCGCAGCATTGCTCCATCACCCTGCATGCGGAGCAGAGGTGAATAAACAATATATATTCATCATCCATCCATTCAAAATTTCGAACCAAAATAAGGAAAAACACTGGTGATGTGGTGGCATGGAGTCGTGGGTGCGTGAAAGTGAATATTACGTGTTTGAGGGAGGGCTTTCAACGGGATTTCAGTTAGATTAATTAGGGATGGGTCACTGGTTTCCGTTTCTTAGAACGTGTGTTAGGGGGGTGAATGTGGTGTTACGTGCGACCATGCATATAGCAGAGTATGCGTGTGCGCGTTTGCCATGTAGGAAAAAGAAAAAGAACCAACATTTCAATCCCTGGTATCACTACTAGCATGAAGGTTGTGTTTAGTTCACGCCAAAATTGAAAGTTTGGTTGAAATTGGAATGATGTGATGGAAAAGTTAGAAGTTTGTGTGTGTAGGAAAGTTTTGATGTGATGGAAAAGTTGAAAGTTTGAACAAAAAGTTTGGATCTAAACACGGCCGAAGCTAGATAGTTAGATGATTGGATTGGTGTCTACGTACTCTCCCATGGCGATGACGCAGGCGAAGGCGAAGCCGGTGATGACGATGACGTAGATGCAGGAGGAGGTGAAGCGGGTGGAGCCGGCGATGTAGGCGCCGACGAGGCTGGCGAGGTCGAGGAAGGTGGCGATCATGAGCGCCACCACCTTCGTCTCCGACCGGTAGAACCGCTCGCTCATCAGCAGCACCGTGATCACCAGCGACGTCACGAACGTCGTCGCGTTGAAGTAGTAGAACGTCTTGTACCTCGCCGGCGACGTGTGCCGGAGCACCGGGTTGCCGGCGCTGTGCCCGCCGGGCCCCGGCGCGTCGTCCTGCCAGAACCCCCCCGGCGGGTTCAGCCCGGCCTGGTACGACGCCGACGCCGCCACCGTCGCCACCACCATCAGCCACCCGCGCATCTCCCTGAACCACTTGTTCCGCAGCGCCACCGGGTCCTCGCTCTCCTCCTTGAGCACGATGATGCCATGGAACGCCGCCGCCGACGCGCCGCCCTGCTGCTGCGGTAGCGACGGCGTGATCAGCACCGGCATGCCGCGCTTCCCGTTGGGGACTAGGTTGATGGCCTCCGGCGCCGCCAGCTCGCCCGGGGCCGCGTCGGCGACGGGGACGGCGCGGCCGCGGCCTCCCGACGACGGCGACTGACGCTGGCACGAGCACGACATCCTGGTGACGCTGATTGATTTCAGTGCGCTTTAATTTGCATGTTTCAATTGTTGGTTTAAATACTCGCGTGGATTGTGAGTTGTGATTACGCTTTTCCGAATGACGTCCATATTACATGTGCATTGTCTGCTTTGCAAGCAAGGCAGCTTTCCTTTTCCCATCTTTGGTGAAGACGAAGAAAGGGTGCACATATGCGAATTTTTAAGTGGACAAGAAAGGAATTGTCCAATTATTCGAGATGAAGAAATAAAAATATATGCCCACTGCAGCGTGCTAATGTATTACTATGTGATATTTCACTTCTGCTTTCTAGTTTCTACTAGCCTGTCGGCCTTCTTGGGCGGCGTCAAATATTTCTGACTGAAGGGAGTAATTAACATATACATGTTCTTGCTCCAACTTGTTATTGTGTACTAATGACACATATTAGACTCTTGATTACATCATTACTATGTCATGTCATGATATCAGCCTAGCTGGAAAGGAGCCTTAAAATAAAGAATGCCAAAACAAAAAAGTACCCGTGAGATGGGCTACCTACAATGTGGGAAAGATATATTCCCTTCCTTCTCTTTTTATATAGGGACGTATTATATCTATCTATCTATCTATCTATCTATTATATTATTAAAATAGCTTTGAAAGCAGACACCACGTTCGCTGTGAAGGTTAGAAATTTCCACATTAATCGGAGAAAAAAAAAAGAAGAGTCCAAGTAGAAATACAATCTAAAAATACCTGAAATTCGGAATTAAAATTAAGTAATATTGAAAGAAGAGTCCATATAAGAACCTAATACGAGATTAATCCAAATTCAGAATAAAAATAAAATAAAATCCAAAATTAGCAAAAAAAAAGAAAAAAAAAAGAAGAAGAGTCCAAGTAGGAATACAATTTTAAAATAACTGAAATTCGGAATTAAAAATAAGGGATATTGAAAGAACAGTCCATATAATAACCCAATACGAGATTAATTAAAATTCGAAATAAAAATAAAATAAAATCCAAAATTAGAAAAATAAAAGGAGAGTTCACGTAGGAATACAATTTGAAAATAAACAATATTAAAATAAGAGTCCATATAAGAAACCAATATGATGTTAATTAAAATTCAAAATAAAAAAATCAAATAAAATAAAAAATTAGAAAAATAAAAAAGAGAGTTTAAGTAGGAATACAATTTTGAAACAATTGAAATTAGAAATAAAAAAATAAGAAATATTAAAAGAATAGTCTATATAAAACACAATACGAGATTAATTAAAATTAGAAATAAAAAATAAAATAAATTCAGAAAATAGAAAAAGAAAAATAAGAGCTCAACTATAATACAATTTATAAATAACTAAAATTTGTAATAAAAAATAAAGACTATTGAAATAAGAGACAATCTAGAACACATGACGAGATTAATTAAAGTTCGAAATGACAAATAAATTAAATTTAAAAAATAGAAAAATAGTTATAAAAGTTCAAGTAGGAATATAATTTACGAATAAAAATTATCGGAATGAAAAATATGCAAATTTTCAAAAAAAAAGTCCATCTAGAACACAATGATTATAAATGGCAATAAAGAGGAGAGGAGCAATAGGCCTGTAAATTAGTAGAGTGCTGGCGATCGATGGGATATCTAAAAACTATAAACAAAACTTCAAATAGAATCCCAATGACGATTAAGAGGAGTGACAATGGGCATGCCGTTAAGTAGCATGATCACGACGGTTGACGGGACTTATGGAGAGTAAAAATAAACCCCAATAATAATCATGTTCAATTTTTGAAATCTCAATGACAATAAGGAGAGGAGGCAGCGGGTGGACTGCAGAGAAGTATAGTGGCGAAGCCACTAACGATTATGGAGACTTATAGAAATTTAAAAAGAACACAAACAATAATTATGTTCGATTATTAAAATCCCAATGATAATAAAGAGAGATGATAGCGGACGGGCTGTAGAGTAGTAAATTGGTAATGTTTGACGATACTTCAAAGAATTATATATGAAAACGAAACCCAACAAAGACAATGAACTCTAAAAACTATAAGGCCTAATTTTTTAAGTTCTAAAGAGGATGAATAGAAGTAGTGGTAGATCGAGTAAGCAAATAAAAAGATGACAAAGGAGTAAGGGATAGCGACTGGCGTGGCTTTTAAAAACTATAAAATTATTAGAACCACGGGAATGATAATTTAAAATAAAATCATGTATAAAAATAGATAATTTTAAATTGATGCTAGCAGTGCAAATGCGCGGGTCGCCCACCTAGTTTTATTAGAACAAGATCTAACCCACGATTATTGTACATATTATCTTCCACAAAACTGTTGTTATTATAATTGTATTCAAAAATGCTTTCTTCAGGCTATAATTTTATATCACATAAATAAAATATTGGTAGAGTAATTATTGGTCAAAGACTTGTGCTGATAAAAAGAAAAGGAGGGACTATATGTCATCCTCGACCGTTTGCGATGGAATAAATGTGTTCGACTGTAGATTGTATTTTCTATGGAGCACACCATCAGTTCCAAAATCCATATACCATTCAATTACTAACAGATCGACATCCCCTATAAAAATTATATTTTTATAGGTCCTAGACTTTCCATTTCATAAGCAGCCGAAAAGGAAAACCGAATGTGATGGTGGTTTAAACCGCTTCATGATCAGAAACCGCTTATGATAGCCATCCATAAAAATAGGATGTTTTTACATATACTAGTATTTGTATAGAAAGTTACTATATCATTAAAAACACTCACAGATAACTAAACAGACAGCTCCATGTTCATGAAAAGCCCAAGCATGTCACATGAAGAAAACCGCGCGCAGAACACTGGCAACCTATAGACTAGAACAGTCCATGAAAAGGAATACTGAACTCTGAAGCATTTTTGCAGAAGCTTAACACAACTCTCTCTCTCTCTCTCTCTCTCTCTCTCTCTCAACTTTCCAGTAATTCTTGAAGAAATTTTTACATATATGTAGCCTAGATCAATTCCAGCCTAGCTAAAATCGGGGAAAATTCTCAAGCGTCAACACTACTGATGTGAAACGCCGCGCCTCTACCTTGCTCTTCATCCTCGGCCTTGTGGATCGGGAGTCCGTCACCCTCAGCTCTACCATGGAGCGGGTAGCAGCTGCTCATGCACGGCGACCTCCCCCTGAAGAAATCGCAGACTATCCCCATCACCCTGAAGCAAATTATACCATGCGTCAGCACTAACTATATATATTAACATTGCTTGTAGCTTGTCTAATTATCAATTAATATATGCAATGTAATGTAATTAATGTACGTAGCACGCACTCTCCCATGGCGATGACGGAGACGAAGGCGACGCCGGTGATGGCAATGACGTAGGCGCAGGAGGACATGAACCGCGTCGAGCCGGCGATGTAGGCGCCGACGAGGCTGGCGAGGTCGATGAAGGTGGTGACCACGAGCGCCGCCACCTTGGTCTCCGTGCGGTAGAAGCGCTCGCTCATGAGCAGCACCATGATCACCAGCGACGTCACGAACGCCGTCGAGTTGAAGTAGTAGAACGTCTTGTACCTCATGTTTTAAATAGAGGGCTAAGACATTTAGCGGTTAACTTCTCAAACAGCTATAGCGGTAGCTATAGCATGCTAAATAGAGTTTTAGCGGCTAAATTGTACATGAGAGCAAATAACTAGAACCCTTCTCATACAGTTATAACTAGAGATAGTGGCAGCTATAGTAGGAGATTTAAAACCCTGTTGTACCTAGCGGCAACGCTGTCACGAAGCACCGGATCGCCGGCCCTGTGGCCGGCGACCCTGTCGTCCTCCTGCCAAAACCCTCCGGGAGGGTTCAGGCCGGCCTGGTACGTCACCGACGCCGCCACCGTCGCGAGCACCATCAGCCACCCGCGCATCTCCTTCAACCATGCGTTCCGCTCGGACCGCTCGTCATGCTGATTATGCCTCGTCGTCTCTGATGACATCCTCTCGCTGCAGTCCATTAATTGTTCACTCTGGTTACTGTAAGTGCCGTACATTTATAACCGCCATGTATGTGCATTGTTTGGATTGCAAGCAAGCTGTATTGGTTATAGTAACGAAAATTTCACTTTAGTGAAGAGGACGAAAGGTTTCAATCCGATATATATAAATATGTTATGTAGCTTTAGGTTAATTCAGCATGGACAAGGAAGGGATTTTCGTTCATCAGGCTGTTCAGGCTGAAGAATTGCAACTTTTCTTGATTGTGTTGCTGTCCAGTAAATATAAAATGCTGTCAGTGTACGGATCAACGGATGATATATTGATACAAGTACATCATAAGGCTGCCATGGCGACATGAGGATCAACAGGAGGGCTAACTAACACGAATGAGAAAAGAACATATCTGGCAACCTCGTTTGTGATTGGAAAAAAGAGACAATCATGCCAACTTTAACTTTCTCTGATCTAGGGCGTATTCACGAAGGATATGTCTATATGGAGTTTACACCCAACATTTTTTCTAACATGTTTTTTTTTAGATAATTTTTTTAGCATGTTTACATAGTTACAAACTATAAGAAATTTCTTGTGCAGATTGTATGGATCTGCTAGATTGTAGTCTACCGAATCTTGTGCGATATTGTTATTATTTCTTTTCTTATTAATTAAACAAATATTTGTTTTGAAAGTACATTTTTATTTCTCATGGTTGCATTGCATACGTCCGTTAATCAAAACTAGCTAGTTGCTAACTCTTTCGTTGTGCAAGCTAAAATGTAATTCTATGCTTAAATACATTGATTATTTTCTTAAAATATAGAGGGTTGTATTAGATAAAATCGAATTTATTACGCATCTGTCGACAGATTTCTCAGTCAAAATTTGTCGAATTTTCATCCGTTGGATTCCATATCTGTGCTGAGGCTGTGATTTAGGGTCAGATCGGGTGTTTGGTTCCCGTCCTGTCATGTAGGAGTTTGATTTTATTCTGAGCCTGACATGATGTAGTACTCTGCTCAATGCAGCGAAAACGGATGTATTCCCTCTGTCCCATAATATAAGGGATTTTGATATTTTGCTTGCACTGTTTGATTATTCGTCTTATTCAAAAAATTTTGGAATTATTATTAGTTTTATTTGTGACTTACTTTATTCCAAAGTACTTTAATCACAACTTTCCATTTTTTATACTTGTACAAATTTTTTGAATAAGACGAGTGGTTAAACGGTGCAAATGAAATGTCAAAATCTCTTATATTAAGGGACAGAGGGAGTAAATACTAAACTTACAGTGTGCAAATACTAAACTTACATTGTGTAATTACTAAATTTACAGTGTAAATGGTATGTATTTTTTTATCAATATAATTGTAAGTTATTATTTTTTTGTGATTACATAATTTCTATTGTTTAATTTACTATGGTTTAATTTTAATGTAATATTTAAAGTGCTATACATTATTTAAAATATTATTTACAACTTGTTTTAGTTGAATTTACATTGTAACTTTGACTGTAATTTCTATCTTTATTGAGTGTAAATATTTGGAAGTTGTTTTTTCCCTTGAGAATGTAAAATTTATTTGCTAAAAGTCATATATATGCTATTTTTTTAATTGGCCCATTAAGGAATTGATTGTCACGCCCAAAAATTCACAAGTAATTTTCGAATTTGTGCATTAAAACCCTCGTCCAGGAATCATCCGAGGTTTATAAACTGACAATTTAATATACAAATCCATCATAATAATAATGTTACATATTTACAAAAGAAAAGAAAATAGCAGCAGATAAACGGTCTAGCGATGGCATCATATCCACTCCCACAGGCAGCTTAATTGGGGTATAAGCCAAACGTCTTCTGCTTCGAATCTTTTCTTCAACTGGGGTTTAATTGATTATTGCAAAGTGAGTACATGGAATACTCCGCAAGCCACACAACAAATATGCAAGTGCACAAAATACACAAAGGATGGCATAATATATAGCTCAATACTTACTTTGAGATGCATTATCCCTAGTCTTGTTTAGAACCCTAAAATAGTTTTTGGAATTAATTATAATTCGTGATAGTGTCGGCCCCCGATTTTGAAAATCGGAAATCTTCTGTGTTTATCCGTACCAATCCCTGGATCAGTAGTTGGTACACACATACATAGTTGGATCACAACATATCACGAATGAATTTAGGCTAAAAGAGTTAAACACTTACATTAGGGCCAGGTAGGCCAACAACTATCAGAGAACAACAGCGGAAGGCAAAATAATATAAGGGCCCGGTTAACATGCCACAGGCAGTCGACTGGGGAACGAGACCTAGAACAAGACCGCACTCCGATCATCTTGTGGGATACGCAAGCGTACCGACAAGGGCTTCTCTTCAACACTCTCCTAAAAGATATATAAATAGCAAGGGTGAGTACCAACCGTACTCAGCAAGCCACCACAACAACAATGCATATGATAGAGGGTATTCAAGGAATGGTTTCAGGTTCTTTTGCATAAAGCTAATTTTTACAATTCTTTTCACAAGCCTAAAACCTACCATAGACTGATCAAATTTTAGTACCAGAGTTTATATTTAAACAACGACGGTTCTGTCCACCATCCATTGTGATCCCAAGGATAGCTTCCCGCCATTGATTCGTCATGGTTTTCTGAGGACGTCCACCTTCCCGCCTCTCAGGAAGTGGCTCCAACAGCATAAAATTCATCATGCAATAACCCATCCCACACAAGTTAAGAATTTAGAGTCTAGCCAAGTGTAATACATGTCCCGGTGCTCAGTAACCGCGAGCACGGCTATTCGAATAGATTTGGTTTACTCACACTGCAGTGGATGTACACTTTACCCGCACTCCGTGACTGCCCAACACATGAGCCTCGTCCCAACACATGAGACGCGTCACGGCAAAGCTTTTCGATAACCTCGCATTGGCAGTACCCGCTCCATGAACTTAAATCCTCATGCACTCTAGGCGTACACGGTTTCTAGCAGTGAGAGGAGTTCTGGCGCACCCGGGGAGGAAAGACTCACACATGCATTAAGTTGTAATTATGTTCAAATTCTCACATGGTAGTCCTACTGATGGCGACACCACTGTAGACACCCGCCTCGCGGTTCTACCAATGACTGCCCCACCGTAGAGCCCCTACCGCACACATCAAGAAACCACTATGCATGGATACTGCCTCCGCTCAGCTATCTATTCCGCTAGGTCTATACCCATACGAGAAGTGCGGTTGTACGGGGGTCGTTTCATGCTTAACTTCATGGCTCGGTCCTTAATTGACCAGGGACGGCACTAACCTTTTCCCGGACACCACCCAAGTCCTCCAGCCGCCCCAGTCGAAAACAGTTGTTTTACTTTATTTTCCTTTCACAAATCATGTCATCAATATCATGGCAATGTGGCGCTCATGTCTCCACATGCCGCATCTCAATTACCTTCCCAAAGGTAATTGCCCAAGCATATAGCATTTGATAAATATGAGTATGCATGAATCTAAAATAGCATTTCTAAGCAAGTGTCATAGTTGACTAAGGACTCGTACGTATCTATGGTTACAAAGATTTAAAGGTGAACAATAGTCAAGGCATGGTATAATCACAAGTAGGATGTTCATAATTGCATGCAATTTTATTTGTAAACAAAACAATTTCGCAATTGGGATCAACATGTTCAAAGAATAGTGATGACTTGCCTGCTCAGGATAATCCCTATTCTCGATATAATCTTGATCAACCTTCACCTTCTGGAAGTTGCAGACGTTGCCTCACGACTAACCGATACACAAAGTCTATAATACGCGAGAAAAACCAATATTCAAGCAACAATCAAATATGCACAGACAAAATATATTTGCTGAGGTCGAACCTAAGGTTGCTTATATTATTCGCGCTTGCTAATGGACTCTAATCAAGCTAAGAGCTAAGGTTTCTTAGTCTTTCTGTTGTCATGGTGGTTCAGTCTAGCTAATGGCTAAGGAAGGGTTATGGTTACACATGCATCTATCTAAATAGAACGGTTATACACTAGAGGTTCTGTTGCCGGATGGATTTTGGATCGGTCAAATAATTACTGTGAATCATTTGTATTATTATTTTATTAATGGAGGCTTTATTTTAATTATGTACATATTTCACTTCTCAAAATAAATTATAAAAGGTTAACAATTACCCATGCTTTGTATGTTAGAATTGTTTAGGTTAATCATATTATGGTTACGGATTATCCCATCACATAATTTTACAATGAATAATCCAAATTTACAGTTGATCTGTAATTATACGAGGACAAGATGTATAGCTAGCATTTATCTAATATTCATGTTTGTCTTATACTCCCTCTAAATTAATATATGCAACAAGTAAATTAATACGATACCATATATCTATAATGGGATGTACAATATACGTGTGCGCAATATCTTAATATATTGAATCATTTATTTGAATAGTTTCTATTTACTGCTTGGTTAACTAAGGGTTGCTCACATCTCATAATATATGCTATTATATGGGATATGTCGTTGATTAATCTCATATAGGTGATTTAATCACACTAGCTCTGTTATTATTTGCCATAAACAAGCTTAGGATCGATCTATGTGTATCTATATTTTACTTACCTAATAATTATAAGGCTAACTCTATTTAAATAACTAATAAGTCGTGGGTTTTAATTATATTTGGACATAGATTAATAAATGGCACTAATATTTTCCTATATATCCATTAATTTCAAACATTGATTATACTTAATTTATGTGGTTGCTACAGTGACAAAACATATTAAGGATAATTATTCTACTGTACAATATCCATTTTTATTTATTGGCACACTATTTAGGTTAACTATTATCTAATCATTTGATATTAATTTATAATTATAAATATATTTTATTAAATAGCTAATTGTATACCATTGGTAAGCTTATGAATTTAGATGAATTTAGGTTCAAGTTTCACTCGAATCGGAGTTAAGACGAATAAGTTACGCTAGTTTAAAGATTCAAATTGGAATAAATCCGAAAGTTTGTAAAAG